GCCTTCATCTCCATCAACATTTTCATTATCACTTGTTGGGACTAATTTCCTTTTCAAAAAAACGATCCATTGTGCTTTGATTTCCTATCAAATTATTCAATCAACAAAATTAAAGACACAAGTAGATATTGAATGCACAGTTAAAAAATCAGTAATTTACTATTTTACTTACGTGACATGTTTGCTGGCAAGTGGCAAGATGAACAGATGATTCCTGAAAATATATAAAAACCATAAGCTGCAAGCATCTCGCAATTGTAGATTGGGGAGCAAAAAATAATTTTGAGATAGGATTTGGGATTTTAGGTTACCTGTACCTCGGTAGAATACAGTACAGGTAGGATTGAATCAGGATTCAGGAACGGAGACTCGGAGAGTCGGAGAGCAGTGGCGGCGGCGTTGTCCGCCCGTCCGTCGTCGCCGTCAACACCGAGTGACGGCTGCGAGCCTACGATCACGGAAGGACGTCGAGAGCGACGGCGCAACGACGGGAGAAGAAGAAGAATCGTTGAATGTTTCGGCTTTCTGCGGGCTGCAGCTTCGGCAACTGAACGAAGTACGTGACTTTTGGCCTTCTCTCTTGGGGTGCTATTCTTGCTGGGCCACCGGGGTCATCTTTTTTTTACCGGGGTCATGACTGTTGGAAAGTTATACGTATAATAGATTCGTACGAAACCATCGGGGTCACGCGACCCCGGCGACTCCACGTAGATTCGCCCCTGATTCGAACTTATGGCTTCTTTCCTCTCACAAGCGTCCCCTATGGTATATTGGCACACCACACGGTGATTTGTGACTAAGTACAATTGCTATTCTTTTATATTAATTTTCATGAATCTTGTATTATTCAATATTTCAGCTGCTAAATGATCAAAAAGAGAAATGCTTCGACTACAAAGTTTTACAAATCAACGAGTACTACATGTAGCATCCAGTTTTAAGAACAAAACCAGATACGCACCATATGTGAGCCTAGGAAGTCAAATCTCACATATAGCTAGAAATAAGGGTAATATCAAAAGACAATACTCAATATATAACGTACTTAGTATAAAGGATATAACCTTAGACAGCAAATAGTGGAAAGACAACTCCGATCTTCGGGTGAAAACTCCAATTCCATAGGGATAACTGACTGGTTGATCACGAGCCTAATTCCTCCAAACTCTAACAATCTAGTACCCATCCAGGATTTTTATCCAAAGATTTAAAAAGTAAAGCAAGCGTCGTACTCAACAAATATAACATGGGGTTCATGAGGCTCAAAAGGCTGACACTAGTTTAACTACGATTAGCTTTTAATGAGTCATCTTTTAGCAATTGGGTGACAACAAGTTTATTCACAAGCCCATATAAACATATGATCAGGTAAACATGAATAATGAATAGCATAAACACTAATCATTAATGAGCAGCTTCATCATCAGTATCATCCATGTTCATCATCATTAACCATTAATAATCATCTATTCCGTAAATGTTTTAAGGTCGCTCGTGACTGTGAGCACAGCTGATATACCAATTTTACACTCTGCAGAGGTTGTACACTTTCACTGTGAGTCGTGATTTACCCTTTCGCCCAAGGTGATCAGCCTCTTAACCCACTACCAAGGAAGATCGATAGGGTTCACTATGAAGCCTTTCAAAGGTTTGTCTAACGAGTTAGGGCCGCTAAGGTTTCTCCATCAATAAGCATGAACCTCCCTCTAAGGAGTGACTAACAAAATACCAAGAAACCAATGTGCACCCTCTTGGCAGGCCTAGATCATACCTATCGGAGCCCCTCTTGCGCCATAAAGGTAACCACTAACAAGCTAGAAAAGGTCCTCATACTAAGCTAAAGCCAAAGCTGTGTAGTCCTCACAGCTGTACTATAAGTCCCAGATGTTCACTTATAGATAAGTCCTTAGGAAGAGGAATCTAGAGCACCATAAAAATAGTCCAATGCTCTAGCCCTCTTGTTTCATGTTGCTAAAAAGCATCTTTTAGTGTTTATTGCATATACCATTAGTCAAGTTACAAGATCATGGTTGTAGTTGAGCACTAGCATCATACTACCCAATGCAATATCCCATAGGTATCAAGGCACAAGGTACAAAGTACTAGAAAATTCTTAGTGGTAGTTAAGGTAGACACATGCAGTATGAATTAAATGATTAAAGGTGTATAGAACAACAAAGAAGATCCCATGCTATACTTGCCTTAAACTCAGATCCTTCTTCTAGTCCAAACCTTCAAAGGAACTCCTTCTTGATCAACACGTAAAGCTCACCGACTGGACATGATCATAAAGCACCACACAAGCATCCATGCAATCATACACGAAGCAAACAATAGATCTAAATTAGAATAATACACCAAACATAATAAATAATAGGTAAAGAGGTTTTAAAAAATGTTCTACATGTTACTACTGAACACAAAGCCCATGAAAAGCACTCTAATCGGAGCTATAACGAAAAAAGTTATGAATTAAACAAGATTTCCTTTAATAAAATAATAGATTAAATCTAACCTCAAATTTCAAAAGTTAAAAATATGTTTAATAATAGGATGAACATATAGATTATGCAATTACGAATCTAACGCAACTTGAACGGGTCAAATCGAAGTTAAAATGGAGATTTTATGGCCTCTAGAAGGCGGTGACAATTTTGTAAATAGGGGAACTTGATTTTCAATTTAAAATAAATAAAATCCAATTTTAAATCTGCCCAAGGACTGCAGGTATTATTTCATAAAAAGGCAGGAGTCTTTAGCAAAGCTGCAGGGACGGCGGGTTAGAACTTAAAATCTTGCGAGGCTCTTTTGCAATTTCACAAATAAGGGGTATCGAACTCTGTCGGTGGTTGGATCTAACTTGGATGGGTCGGATTAGACAGAGAAGGGAAAAGGGGAAGCGTCGGCGAAGCAGTGGGGCCGCCATGGAATTCTTCAGCGGCAATGGGAATTTCTCATCGGAGAAATTGGGGAAAACAACTACGAGCTTAATCTGCTCGAGATTGGCACTGGAGAGATAGATAGAAGCAACAAACTTCGTCTCTCGCAATCTACGGCAGCGAAGATCGAGCAGAGGTGGCTGGCGTCGAGCAATGGCGGCAGCGGAGTGACGGCGACACGAGGTAAGCCAAAACAGAGCGAGACAGAGAGTTAAGGGCTTGACATGCTCGCAAACCCAACGCGAAGCTTCGGGAATGCTCTTACCGTGACGGAGGATCAGCTAATCGGCACGACGGTGTTGAACTTCTTCTCGGCGGAATCTAGACGGCGGTGGCGCTAGCAGCATAGGCGGCTGGCGGCTTGCTCTAGGGCTTGGTGGGGGCAAAACATGCGCAGGGTCGGTATTTAAGAGGCTCGTAGCGTGGGGCCAACGCTACCGAGAGGGGCATAGAGGAGGCGGACACGGTCATGGAGGAGTCCGCGTCCAACACGAGCTAGGGATCGGGGATAGAGCTGACAGGATGGTCCCACCTGTCGGTGTCGGAAAGTGAGGGGTCGGGCAGTTAGTCACCGTGAGAGAAGACGCTGCGCGCTGCCTGCCAAGCGACTGTGGCCTAAAGCTGGGCTGCGGCTGCACTGGGCCTTCGGGCGCAAGAAAAGGCTGAGAGAGAGGAGAAAGGAGGGAATTGGGCTGGCGCCAGGGAAGGGAAGGAGGGAGCACTGGGCCATAGGGTTTGGCGGCCCACGCAGGGGAAGAGAAGGCCGAGGGGAAGGGCCGGGCTGAGAGAGGGAGGGGCGAGGGAGGCATGCCTTCGGGCCTAAAGGGAGAAGGGAGGGTTTTCTTCTTCTTTTATTTCAAAATCATTTTGAATCACTTTTCAAAAACACTTTGAAACATTTTGAATTTAGACCGAAACCACTCATTACAAAAATACAAATGCACCAGCAGGAATGCACTACAATGTTGCTAAGCCTTATGATGAATTTTTAATTTAATGAAAAATTATTATTCCCTATATTTTATGAGCACAAAAATACATAATTGAATCATTCTAACTTTATTTCAGAAAGAACAAATTTTCGGGTGTTACACTACAACTATGGTATATGGCACATTTTTATTTGAGATCATTTGGAAAATTGAATGTTCAAGTTTATATTTTAAATTGTGAGAATTTAAAATGTGTATTTAAGCCCATAAATGATCTTAAATAAAGAACCAGCTAACTAGAAAGTTTTAGACCGTATTGACCTCTAAGTTTTTATTTAAATATTATATTGAAGGGTGTCTGACTTAGTCAATTACACATAGAAATCACCTATTTTTAGGGACGGTTGGCATAATAAATGGCTCCAAAAAATATGATTTCTGTACGGAGATCTTTTTATGTATCAATTGTCCCTAAAATAGGTATATCTGTTTTTCAGCAGCAGTTTTATTAAATCATCCACTCATGAAAAGCGATTTTGAGGGGTGGTTTGAAAGCCACAAAACATTTATAGAGAGTTTACTCTAGGAATCATCGTTAATAACAATAGAAACTGATTGTAAAATTAATCTGTGTAGTAGTAGTGATCTTAGCTCTTCTCCATGGAGTATTTCATGGATTAAATATCGAATTGGCATGGAATAAAGGAGAATCCTTGCACTCATTAAACCGAACAATATATCCTTGAAGTCTTGAACCACAACGTACGAAAAGAGGTGCAACAAGAGGTTGAAAGGCCTCTAGCTCGCGCTTTGCGTCGCCTGGCACATAATATAATTAATCTTTAATCTTGTCATAATGGACATCTGGTCAATATATAGAAGTTCTTCCAAGTTCTTCCCTCAAAAAATATATAGAAGTTCCTAAATTTGAAGAACACAGCCTAATAGTGTCATACAAATAGCAATACACACAGTAACCCCCAAAGTTGTTATAGCAGTAGTCGGCAATTGAGAGACATAACATATACTATTTACTACTAGCTATATGTATCTCTATATACTATGGATTCAATTATTAAGATATGTAGTCAAATTAACCAGTGCCCAAAAAAGATCTAATCGACTGGCATCACAGCAGGTGGTCGGTACCAACGTTGTCTGCTGTGGCGGAGCAGGCTTCGGTTACCTTGGCAAAGCGGCCTTTCACCCGGGGTCTCACCTGCGCATAGGCTTTCCTGGATGCATATCTTATCTGCTTCTCATAGCACCTCCTCATCCTCTTCTCCTTGTACCTCATCAACTTGAGCTCCCTCTCCGTTGACTGATCTATCGGCATTTGCAGCCGACTGTCATCGGTCAGGGTTGGCTCCTTGAGCCTCGAGCTTGCTGCGTCCGTGAATGTGCTCCCACAGAATGACATCTGCATGAACCAGCAACTTTAAATCAGAGGAAAATAAAAGAAATGGGCCAGAAAGAGGTTGTGGTTAAATCAGTTTTGAGCAATTAATATGCATGAATTTATATATATTATTGCGTTTTATATTCATTTCTGTGTCTTGCATGATCAAAGCAAAATTAGGAGAGCTAGGTAACTAAATAACTCATTGCCTTCATTTATTATTTCGATATATATGAATATGCACTTTGATGGATGTTGAATGGCCGTGTCTGATGGTCATAAGATATTGCCTTGGTAGCACGATTTGTTAGGCCGGGGTAGGAAATTAGATCTTAATATAAGCCAAGTGATCAAGTTGTTTCTATATATATGCCGCGAAAGTGCATTAATTAATCACGTATTACTTTCGTAAAAGCCAAGTGTAGCAAAAAGCAAACAGCAAATCTGCAAACGAACCACATAAAATGAGACAACTTATTACCTATTTCATCAAACTTTGGCATGCACAAACCATAAGGATAGGTTTAGATACCAGTTGGACATATGCATGGAAATTGTTTGACATGTTATATTTGGTATTAGAGTACTATATTTTGTTGTTTTCTTTAACATAATAATCACACAAGCTAGGTCATCCAAATAGGTAGATACATCAGTGGACGCACCGACATGCATATATATTGTTACAGTTGATTTCAACCATACAAATCTGGAGTGCCTGCAGTTAATTAACTATATGTATCATGAGGCAAGCATAAATTTTCAAGAGCAAAATAAACCAATATAGTGATGAAGAAAATGGAAAAAGAAGGCCAAGCTTTCTCCCTTTTATCTATATATAATTTCTTAGTAAGTATATCACAATATCTAGATTTGCTGATAAGAATATATAATCAATTCAGTTAGTAAGTATATCACAATTAACCTTACCCTTTTCCATATCTATTTCCTCTCCACAAGGAAATCACTATAGGTGATTAATTTGGACTTGTTAATATCTCTCAGTCCTCGCACACAAACTCTATGTATGAGAGTTATAGTTTTTGCTCTGATGGAATTGATGATGAATCTGTCGATTATCAACAACAAACCTGTACAACACCCTGTAACTGTTTTCCCCTTTATTCATAAAAAGTAAGCCCCTTCTCTTAAAATCCCTAGATTTTATTAGTTGGAGAACATGAGCCCTCACCATCCATGCATGGTAGAAAATTCTTATAGTCTGCAAGACCTCGAAATCTGGTGCTGCTGCTGGCACAAAATAAAAAGAAGCGACACACACACACACACACAGAGAGAGAGAGAGAGAGAAGGATCGGAAGAACCCCACATATGATCTTTCAAAAAAAAGAGGAAGAACCACATATGGTGAGCTCGCTGGTCTGGTCTTGAATAAAACGCAAGCACTGAAAGAAAGAATCGTGATCAATCAAGAACAGAAAAGAACGTGAAGCAACTGAAGACAAATCCACAAAAATCCAGCTCAGGGAGAGGCCAGCCGAGTGATCCTGCTGAGATTATTCTTTCCATGCTCCCTACTAGGAGTACTTACGATGGTGGCGCTTGCTGCTGATGTCTGCGTTTGCCGGGCGGCGCCCCCGCTGCCGAGGCCCAGCCTGGCGTCCACCTCAAAGGTGAGGCCGTTTCCTGGGTGGTGGTACTGCGTCCCAAACGGGTCAAACGCCCGGTGATGAGGCTGGTTCTCAGCTGGGGACCGGTCGTCATCGCCGACCTCGCGCGCAGGTGGCGGCGGGTGGTCGAAGAGCCAGGCGACGCTTTCTTGGTGATCATCATCGTCCTGATGGCCAAAGAACTGGAACTCGTGCAGACACCCCTGTGGTTGCTGCTGCATCTTGGGGCTGGGCTCATGATGGTGAACCGCAGGGAAGACGGAGAACAAGGCCCGGCTGTTGAGGTCATCGTTGTCATCGCCGGTGTGGAAGAGGTGCCGGCAGCAGGCGGCCGCACCGCACACACCGCATGCTGGCCCCGACATGTGGATCGATCGCGCGCGCTGCTCGATCTTGAGAGGTTTGCTGTGTGGAGGTGTGGCGCAGAAGATCGATCGATCGAACGGCGACTGGGCAGGAGGGAAACTTGTTGAATTGAGTTATATATACTGAGGCAGGTCAGGGTGTAGTGTAGCTGCTGGAATAGGAAGGAATAAATAAATAAAGCTGCTTGGTAGCTGCTAGGGCTAGTTATAATTCCATGGGGTAGCGCGCGGCAGTTAAACACTGAAAAAGGAAAGGCCAGGGGAAGCTGAAGAAAAGCAGATGTCCATCGCAAAATCTGGTAGCCAATGCCCGGGGCAGAATAGATATGGATGTCCATCGCAAAATCTGGTAGCCAATGCCCGGTGCAGAATAGATATGGACAGGAATCTGATACAGCGTAGCGGGAGATAACGTGCCGATGAGCTAGCAACGCTTAAATAAATTGGTTCAAAATTGACAATGTTTCTTGACTGACGTTCTGGTTCTTCTATATATATCCATATCTTTTATTATGCATCTTGACGGATATATTGTAGTGTGGATATGCTCGCGTTAATATGCATAAGTAATCTCAACATGTGAACTGCGTGTGGCTTAGATGACTGGGTTTCTTGTGGTATAACCTATTCACCCAAGTTGAAGTCCTCAACTTTTTTTTTTGAGCAAAAGGTTGGCAGGGGCTCTGCCTTTTCATTCAGTAGGAAGCATAAAAAACTTTAAACAAAGATAGAGATAGGCCCCGTTCACTTGTCTGAAAAAAGAAGACAAAATACTGTAGCGGCTAATTGTATGAGAGAGAAATACTGTAGCGGCTGGTTGATAAATAGTGCCGCTGTGAGGAGGAACCTGCCGGCTGGTCTGGAAACCAGACCAGCGAATGGCAAAATAGTCTGAACAGAGAAGTGAAATAAAAAAAAGGACATTAAGGAAACATAAACAAGCAGACAGTCTATTGACAACAAGACGCCTATGGTGATCTTAATTTCAAGATCGATCTGCCGGCTCAGTATTTCGAAGGTGCTCATAGGAGTAGACTATGTATGTGCGTGTTCATAAAGGTAGGGGTACGTGCATGTGACTAAAAAAATAGTGTCAACATGCAAATACAGATCCTAGTGCACGCGCCCATCATGCATAGTGGAACCTGATGGAGCATTAGTTTACATTTTGGGGGTGTTGAAATCTATAACATAAAAAATCAATTTTAACATAAATCAAAAGACTATGTCAATTAGATGTTTTATATATTAAAAGGCAACGAGGGCACGGAGGGCTAGCTAGCTGAAACTCAGCGAAGTAATCCATCCGGTCACAGGAGTATGTTGCTTTAGGACAAGACGTGGTTAAAACTTAGAAACCATAAACATCAATAACTTCTAAATTGCTGGATTGAAAACATATAAGTTATACGTGCAGATTTATAATATAGAGAAAATACTTGCAAAATCGCTTAAATTTCACTATGCCAGTACAAGCAATCAATTTCGGGTCAGAAGCCCCCATCACGTCAGAATTGCTTCTGACGGAGGACAACCGGTAGTGATGGGGTGACTTATCACTACTGGTTTATAGACCCGTTAGTGATAATACACCATCACTGCCGGGTCAAAGCATGTTATTATATACCTGTCTTTAGCAACCTAACAGTGATTGCGTGTTTTGGCGCAGTGCTTAAGAGATTTTAAGAGCTTGATTGTATTATAGAAGAAGTTAGTGGTGAAAAATTCGCGTCAAATGAATACCGTGCAAACCAAAATATGACAATTATTTTTTGATCACTGAGAGTAGCACACTAGTAGCTATGCAAGTACATTTCTTGTTAAAAGTGCCCACCAATTAGTCCAAAGAAAGTATATAAGTGTTGGCCATACAAAACTCTCGAACAGGAAGATGCGTGCATGGTGCATTTGGCTGGTGAATAAAGACATTGTTGGTTGTTTACACAGAAATAGAATCCTACCTTTGGGTGACGGAGCCCCCTGTTGGCGACAGATAGCAATGACAAAATGGCAATGGCAGCGACACACACAAAAGCGTGAAGTTTGCATGCATCAGGAATCAATCGTTGGCCCTACCCACCTGCTTTGAATTTTGTTTGCTTTAACAAAGCTAGCTGGAGATATATATCTATATATATCTATCTCCATTGGATCCTCAGCTCAGCTGAATATATACGACTACGTCTTTTGGTGCTGCAGGATAGAGGCATGACAAAGCAGCAGGAGCGTTAGCTTGCTCCGATCCCATCCATCGGTTGCCTCATATTTGATTCGAGTTCGACGGGGGCGTCGGCGTGTTGGAATGTGATGGGTTCGGCTAATCTAAACTTAATTATGAGATTAATTAAGCGTTAAGTTTTTGGTCCACTCACTCGTTATTTATTTTCAACTAAATAAGAACTGCCGTGATCGGCGGCAACCCTTAAAATTCTAAGGGTTCGCCCCTGACCTGACAAATACGATTATAAATAAGAGAGACGCCTGGTGTCACAATCTCTTTAATCCACGTGACTATTCACATAACCGATCGATTAGGCGCTGGAGGGTTTAGGAAGGCCGTCTACCCACATCCGGTACTGTTGCAGATCTACGTCGCGTTCTTCACCAACTAGGAACATCAAGCCTCAATCAGGTGAAGACTAAGATCTACTTCATCTATATCAACTCTTCTACGTCTCACGGAGGCACTTTCCAGATGGTATCTACAAACTCTAATTAGTATCCGATTAATTTCCACATAAGATTTAGTAAGTGATCATGTTTAGGCTAAGATAAGATCCTAACATGATCCTAGGGCAGAGTGTATTATTAGTTTATGCCTCTGTCAAGATCCATTCAGTTTTAATCTACTATATTTTAAGTTGGACATTAGCACGCACTCAAAGCAGATCGGTTTCTGATTGTTACGTCAGTACTGAGATTGGATCTTTCATGTTTAAGTACAAATGAGTACTAAGTAAGATTGTTTCATAACACTAATTTTGGATCGTGCATACGCAGTTTCAGTTCGCTAAATGATGTATGATTATGATCTAATGATGATTCCAGTAACATGCACAAGACAATTTTTCTCGCCTGATTAAGTGATTAAGTCTTAATTACTTTTGAGGAAGCCATAAGTGCCCAGTTGGATAAGATCAGACACATTCAGTCTCAGATTAAGAATCAATCTAAGCAATTAGTCTCCGATTACTTTATATTTTCCTATGATTAAGGGTGTTTTCCACCAAAATTAATCCGAGTTGAGCATTTAGGAGGGGATTGAATCAAATCAGCAGCGATAAACAAAATCCCCAAAAATTCTTTCCCCAAATCAGAACACTAACCCTAAGATCAGACATGGGCGTGCACCACGGGGCTCGTACCGGCATTATAGGTCATCGGTCGCCGCCGCCGGTATACCACCCCGCAGATGCGTGCACGTGGCTCGTACTGTCTTTGTTGGCGGGTCGCCGACGCCGCCGCCGTGGTGGCTTAAGGCGCCGCCGCCTGCGTTATGCAGAGAGCCTTGGGTAGCAGCCGCCGCCACGCTGGTCTCACAGCGCTCCTGCGTTGACTTGTCGGGCTTCAGGAGCGCCGCCGTCGCTACGACCTTGAGGGGCACTGGCGCTTGCGCCGCCGCCTGGTGCCGCGCCTAGAGCGCATCGCACCGTCGCTTCGGCGGGTTTTGGGTCGCCGTTGCCACACCACATTAGGGCACCCAATCTGCAGAGCTCAACGAAGCGTGCGCGTGCCTTGCCGCTACACGCTGCCAAGCGCGAGCCGAAAGCACCGTGGTGCTTGTCGCTTCGGCGAGGAGCGCACGCAGTGTTGCGAGCAACAACCGAGAAGGAGAGCTGGCTGGAACTAGGGGAGTGAAAAGAAGAACATAGTGAGAAATGAGGCTAGGGTTTTTCAGAGTGGCTTAAGTATGTGATCGTCGTTTGCCTTTGGCATCTCCCAGCCGCTGATCTATCTATCCAACGGATCACACAACTCGTGCATTAGCTGGAAGGAGAATGGGCCGTTAGCTGGCCTATTGATTTATAGGCGAGCGTGAAACGGACCGGCAGCTGACCACGTGATGGTTGGCCGCCACTCCATTAGTCAGACTAATTCAATGTGGCCGAATTGAGTTTCATTATAAGCATAGGCCTACACATTAAGTTTATTTCCCAAATAATTATGTTCATTCCCCAACAACTAATAAGTTCATTTTTGTTTTATTTAAAGAGTTTTGGGGTATTTAAGTTTACGTGGAACACTTTTCCTAAGAATTACCATTTATTTATGTTCAGTTTTTTTAGTTCTTTCTTAGCAACTATATATATATATATATAAGTTTAATGCCCTCATGATGATATTTATTCCCATTTCATATAAAGTTTATTGCCATTTTATTTAGTAATCTTTAAGTTAATCTAAGTATGTTTTTGGAATATGTTGCTGAGAATATTTAAGTTCAAGAATTTTTTCTTTAGAGCATTTTACTTAGTTAGTTTTATGCACTATTTAAATAAGTTTTAAGTTTAAGTTTTTAGTTTTAGTTCTAGTATTAATTCTATGTTTTCTTGAGCATTATTATGTTTTATATTGATGCTCTAAGATTATGTTTGCATTAATTTTGCATTTAATAATAAGTATTTATATTTATATATACATTATATCCACCAGTGTATAATAGGATGGTCTCTAGTTGAATGGAACCAACAAGAAGTTTAACTAGAGATTACTCATAATTAATTTCTGACCAACGTTGACTTTAATGATAAGTTATTTAAGATGAATTTTGGTTTGTTTGTGTCCAACGGTGATGCAAATTAAAGTTCTTAAGCATGCTGTTAATACTGACCAACGTTGTTTTAACTTTATGCTTTAAGTACATCTTATATACAGCTTACTAATTGAGACATTATTTTGCTTCAAATTTTTTCCAGTAAATTATGCAGACTATATAAGTACCATAGAACCCCTAAGTTGCACTAATTTTCCTACTTGGAATAATCAGGTGCATGCCATTC